CGCTAAGAGGACACCTGGGGAGAAGCCCTACCTCAGTAATTCAGCAGATAAGAGTCCTCTTCCAAGTTGACTGGAAGATATCTGCTAAAATCAAGGGTGCCCAACCTGATGGAGCAAAAATAAGTTTCAACCCGTAATTAAACATGCGGGCCAAAGCACGTGCTTTGATGGAAACTAACCCTGCCTCCAATCAAAGTGCAGCATTCAAGATACATAGAGGCACTGCGAGAATCCCTCTTGAAAACTTTGTCAGTACTATTTCCAAGGGCTTCAAATCAGAATATGCGAACAAATGAGCACCATAAAGCATTTGGGATATAATTTTAGTTTTAAAGACTTGAATCGCTTACAGTACATATTGTCCACCCTTAGTGTAGAAGAACCTCAATAGAGCAGTACTACATTTCTGTGCATTTGATGTGACATGATTCAAATGGAAGGACTACGACCCTGAGGAATGAAATATCATGGCTAAATATTTGTAACAGGATACTTACTCTATGTTGTTCCCATTTAATGTCAATCTATATTTCATCTTCTGCTAATAACTATAACCTTTGTCTTAATGTAATTAATTGAAAATTGCTTTTGGATCAATAAGAGGCTAGGGCTTTCAAAATTCTCTAGACCCACACACAAAGGTGACATCACGACCACATCATCCGCATACAGTAAAATTGAGAGGGGGCAAGTACTCAGCTTGGGGGGATGGAAGTCTGCTCTCAATAAATTATTCACTATATCATGAATATAGAAATCAAACAATGTTGGGGCTAGTATACAGCTTTGCTTGATCCCATTAAATGATGGTATCGCATTAGATCAGTGGTTCTTAACCTTGGGTTACTCAGGTGTTTTTGGACTGCAACTCCCAGAAGCCTTCACCACCAGCTATGCTGGCTGGGGTTTCTGGGAGTTGCAGTCCAAAAACACCTGAATAACCCAAGGTTAAGAACCACTGCATTAGGTAAGGCTCCCGCCTTATTGCAAATAACCTTAAGACTATTATTTTCGTGCAGTAGCCCCATTAGCAAAAGGAGTCTTTCGTCAATATCTGTAGCCTCTAATTTTGCCCACATTTTTTTCCTGGAAATCAAATCAAATGCAGATTTAAAGTCTATAAAAGCCACATACAGAGTCCCTTTTAGCAGTGGAATATTTATTTGCTAGATGTTGCAAAATCGATGCCTGGTCTATAGCAGTCCTGCCTGCTCTGGATCCACCCTATTCCTCAACGAGGATATTTCCTTCATGTAACCATTCTTGAAGCTTTCCTAACAGATCCTTTGTATAAAGCTTGCTAATAGTACTTAGTAGACTTATTGGACGGTAATTTCTAGGGTCCAATTTACAGACTTTTTCAAAGATCGAGACTATAAGAGCAAGCCCCCAATCCTTTGGAATAACCACTAAGAATCCATGTAAAAATTGATGCCAAAACCAGGGCCCACCAATCCATGTTATCCTGCAGTAAATCAGTAATGATGTAATGGGCACCTGGGGCTTTGCCCTTTTTCAGTTGACAAGTCAATGAGCTGATTTCCTGCGCAGAAACAGGGGGCCAATCCATTAACGCAACCAGGAGTTCTTAAATTTTAACAGTAGTATCTGGGTGCTGTGAGTAAATACCCCTAAAGTTTGATTCCCACAACCTTACTGGTATACAACTCTCGTTAATCAGGCCCCTTAACACAATTCTCCAAAAGGATTTAGAGTCCCTTAATTTGCTCACAACAATTAGCTGATGCCAAGATTCTTCCTGAGCTTGAACCTCAAGACAGAAGGTAAGAATTCTGTGTCACGCTATTTTCTACAACCTCTGCATTACTCTAGATTCCAAAACAGATGAGATTACTGTGTGGCAAACAGACAGTAATAGTGCACCACAGCAAAATGTTTCATCATGCAATTGTATTTGCTAGCAAATAATGAAAAAAAATAAGGGAATACAGCAACAAACCTATTCACTTCATGGACATCAACCCCCTAGACAATGGGAAAAACTGAAGCAATGTTTTCTGCACATATCTCAAGCTCTAAATATTAAATCAGAAGAGGCTATGGTAGACCTATGGAGAAGAAAAACAACAGAATATCCTTTGGTATTGGATGAAAGGTGAAGAGCGTCTACCAGCAAGACAAAACTCTAGCTGGACCATCTAGAAGTCACTGAATAGACTTTGAAGCCAAGTAGGATGGTCAAAGAATAATCAAGCAAAATGAAGCTACTTAGATACAAGACAAAAGACAAATTTTCTGTGACTGGGGAGAAATTCAATCAACACAGCACTTATGTCCATGCAATTTATGCCCCACCAGGTCTATAAAGGAAGACTTAGTAAATGATAATGATATTGAGATAGCCCCTTCTGGTCAAAAACAGTCCAATTATTTTAACATTTTAGTTTGTTCTGAAATTTACCTATATTTCATATATGTCCATAATTTTAGATTTTGGAACATTCTGATATGAGTGAAAGAAAAACAATTTCTTTGGAAATTCTGCATAACCTAAGAGGAGAACCACTAGATCCCATCACCACCCCACCCTACCCTTAGTGATAAAAAAATTGATTTTAGATTCATTTGTTTCCATGACAGAAAACAAGTGATATGCTCTCAAAAACAAGCAGTATATTAAAATAAAAAAATTGAAATGAAACTAAAAACATTTTGCAATGATAGCTTTGATGAGAACAGATGCTAGAGAACAGCTGGAAAAGAGAACACATTCCTTAGAATTCTAATAGCTGGTTCTAATCAGGTACAAGTTATACTCTGACCCAGAGTACTTTCTTGGGTCAAGTCCCCTTACAGATATAAGAGGCCAGACCTTTTAAAGAGATGGGGCTCTTTTAATGTTAGACTGGATAAAAGGGGCAAGAACTGCTTTTTGATGTACTCCTCCTGAAGGATTTATCATATCCTCAGCACCTGGAACCTCTCAAAACTAGTTCACACTTTGCCTTGGAAGAGACACTTGGCTCTCTACCTTTTCCCTTGGAAAAAAAAAAGAATGACAATGTGTTTCTGAAAGGCTCCAGGCCTCCAGCCACCAAGGAACAAATGAAAACCAGTAGCTTATTACACTAGGGTCTTTAGGATGGAAATGTGGACTCAAAACATAAAATCAAGAGACCTTTGCCATGACAGGAGACAATAACCATGACTGCAAATGTGGGCTAAAACACAGGACACAACCCAGAGCAGCTGTAGCACAAAAGGAAAATTTGACAGGCTGGTTCCAGATGTACATTAATACTAGTCAGACATGAATCCTCCGGAGGCTTCTTGCAAACTTAACGTCAGAGCATACCAAATCACTTAAACACCAAGGCCATTTTACTGTAGGTACAGAAGTGGAAGAGTTACTTTTTTGAACTATAGCTCCAAGAACCTCCAGGCATTGGGAGTTGTCATCTAAAATGTAATGTTCCAACATGCTGTGCACCTATGTAGATGCTTAAGTTTTCATACAGGACACGGTGCACATATTCTGGGCTTAGATTCTGAGCAAGGAATATAGGAGGTGGTTTTGATTATTACAGTTTTTTTACTCACCTTACTCAAAAGGGAAAGGAGCATCTAACATGAAAGTTTTGAGGCAAGTCTGCAAATAAGAATAGGATTTCTCTTGGTCAGACAGATAATTAGACTGTCCAGCCACAAAAAAACAGTAAAAGGAGCACTTCAGCTTCTCAAGACACATTGTCTTGAGGAAGACTTCTTGAGAACTCAAAATTTCTGTGGTACTTTGGTTAGTGGGGATAGGACTTCCGTGTAAACACAATTTTAAAAAAATTTAAATGGGACTCTTACTTCTATTTCATGTTCTTTCCCTCATTCTCAAAAGAGAACCTCTTTAACGTGAATGTTTCATGTAAACAAAAGAAGGGTATGTTCTTCTGTTTCCCCCTTTTTGTTTAACCTTTCTTTCACCCTTTATCTCTCAATGTGTCATCTAACAGTGTCACAAGAGTTATTGTCAGCAGTCAGTCAGAATGTCCAGGAGAACAGAAGTGGGAATTTGAACTTGCTGGATAGTCTGGATTGAACAAATGGCCAACGAAAGGATGTCTGTGCTTTCAAGCAACGACTGCTCTGTAAACATCTATTGTTTCTAAGATCAAATTTTCAGCACTACAATTATTTCTGACTGCATTGTTTACAATCTCATCCATTCAATTTCAGGGTTAGACATTTCTGGTTCCCCAAAAGGCAGAGATAAATATATTAAGTCACCAATGATAAACCAAGAGTCTCAAAAATATTTTTCTTTAACATTTCTTTCTTCACTAAAGAAAAGTCAATTACCTTGGTCCCTTCTCACAGCTGAAACTGTTACCTTTTACCTGCCCTCCAGCTAATGTCAGTTGATCTGGAGAGGGGTTAAAAATTTGAAACTCTGGGACCAGATGTGGACAACTTCTCAGGGCCACATCTATAGATGGACACAGAACCCAATCTGGAATGCAACCCCCAAAATGTTACTGCCACCCCCAGAATTCAGCATCAACAATGTCAATTATGAATGGTGCAGGAAGATGCCAGAGCACAAACCTCTGTAGCATCACAGAACGTAAGATTTCTGGAACCTAGAAATGTTTTGCTTTATGGTTTTGGTGGCACATTTATCAGTGGTGGCATGAGGCACAAAAAGAAAAAAACGGGGTCAAATACAAACAGTGTAGAAATATTAGAGAGAGGCAATGCCACATACCCCTCTCATTATGCAAAGGAAGAGGGTTCACCTTGTTTAAGAGTGCAGAAAGCATTTCTATTGCCTGGCAGAATGCAGAAGCTCAACACACACCTAGCCCTTGAGCAGGGCAAATTGGCCTCTTCTTTCTCTTTCATCTGCATGCTCGAGGAAATAGCCATGAAAAGATGCAGGTCCCCTTCCCCAGCTCAAGTGGTGGCAGTAGTTACACTCTTTCCTATGGCTTTGGTCTCCAAAATTTTTATTTCTTCAATGTAGAAAACAAGACAGGCTCACTTACCTGAGGTTTAATGTTCACAGTCTCCACAGCATTTGCATTCAGCCATTTCACATCAATTTCCACATCAAAGTGTCCAATATTGCATATTATAGAATCATCTTTCATATGCTCAAAATGCCTGGAAGAAAAAAACACAGTTCTTTTTAGGGGCGGCAGCTCATACTCTTATTCACTGGAGGAAGCAGAGACTGATGAAGACCACAATGGATTAGCTGGGGAAGGACTCAATATCTGCATACATCTTCAGATCCCGTTACCTGATTTAATACAAACATCTTGGCCAGGGTTGCACAAAGTGTAGGCATATATTTAGAGCCATACTTGTCCCCTCCAGACAAGGGCCCCCAGCCTTTCTCTGGCACCTTCTTTTTCCAAACAAATTGGAGAACTCGCACTCCTCAAGTCCTCAATGAGTGCATAGTTACCTTTTAAATACACCACAGCCCCCTACTTTTAATACCTCAAAACCCTTGTTTTTTAATGATGGAAGTGAACTTCTAGGCACCTCTCCCTCTCTCCCTCCCTTTTGGGCAGTCCGTGAGGCCTACAGGCAAAATCTGGCATCCCAGACCTGCCAAAGCCACTCACCCCAATCTAGGTGTTATAGAGTTCTGAGGCAATAAGCTATGCAGTCTTCCAGAACAAATTGCTGTTTTGGTTTAAAAGGTGCAGTAACATGAGTATTCTCCTATTGATGCAACTTGTTATAAACTCTTGTTACGTATTTCTGACATTCTACACATGTGGCACAGACAGGCATATACAGTGTCTTTCATATGCTTTGGCATACAATCCCACTATTCTAAATCAACACACTGGGTGGCAGAGTGGAATGTGTAATCCAAATCCTATGGAATTATCACTTTGTGTTCCCTTTTACTTAGCATAATTTTCCAAACCCTTGTTCTGTTTCCCATTTGATGCATACATTCATGTATGCATTTACATAAAAAGAACACCACACGGGTTGAACATATAATTTTCTCAAAACCTATGCCATGACAAGTAAGACTTAAAAGACGGCTCCAGCATTCTTCATATATTTCACAAGCCCAAACTTTGGGAGAAGAGGAGACTGTTGGAGAAGTAGAAGCCAGAAGAAAAATGGAATAAAAGAGGAGAGAAGCAACTCAGCATGTAAGAATATATAAAAAATCTGAACGGAAAATTCCTTGCATGGTTGCTGGTACAGTACACTAGTTAAAAAAGGGAATTGAGAGAGAAGATCTGAGAAGCCTTTTAGACCTGAACAGTAGGATGGGAAAGTAGAATTACCACAAAAATTACATGGCTGATAAACACGATCTGTGCATTTTAAAAACATGTAAATAAAGGTTTTTGCCCCATTTGTCCCTCTTTTATTTATCTATGGGTTAAGGAGCAAGACAACAGAATAATGGGACACATCATTAAAAACCAACTGATAAGGCAGTGGTTCTCAGCCTTTGATATCACAATAACCAGAAAAGAGAAAGAGAAAGCGTCTTTTTTCCAACAAAGGTCATCTGTTTACAGGCTGTTTGCTGTTATTTTAATCATTTACTGTTAGTTTTAAGGGCCTAAATATTGTAGTAGTACTGTTAGAGGCATATACAAAAAAAAAATAGTAATTCTATCAGTAGTTGAAAATTATATTACTGTGGAGTATTAGTTCTATTGTTTAATTGTGATATCCCTTTGGGATGGAGAAAGAATTAATTCTAGATTCCTTAAGGTTAAATTTGCTACCCCAGCTCAGAAGCTGATTTTATCGACAGACTCCTGTTATTTACGTAGTTATTCTGACATTAACTGCAATGACGTAAACTGCATTAGTAAATTGTTGCTACTTAGCAAGTCGCCATTGGTATCCCTCATCACACATGCATGATGATGCATGGGGCTACTAATAAACTGGTGGAAATTTGCCATCACAGTTTACACTACTGTACTTTATGCCAACAGAACTAAATCAACAGGATTCTGGGCAATAAGCTTTTAGAGAACATCTATGTCCCAAGAGTGCCGCACGTACTGTTGCTTGAGAATTACTGTGCTAGTATAAATTCTGTGAACCAAAATACTCCAGAGGGAGGAACAAAGGCATGAGCAGAACATTGTTTCATAGACAATCAAATCAAGAGCTCACAGGCCAACGTCTAATTTATACCCAATGGCAGAACGTGACACTAAGCCCAGAATAACAAACTAATTAACAAGTTGCATCAGTGAACCAAGTGCACATGTGTTTCCAGATTCTTCTTCACTTCTCTTTCACATCACACACAGGGACAGCAGCCTGTCGTCGAAAGGTGTATAGTACCTGCCCTGCACGATATCTGAGCATCCAGTGGTAGTAACAAATATGTTGCCTTCTTTGCAGGCCTCTTCCATTGTTGTAACTTCATAACCTGCAGATAAGTAAAAGTAAAAGCAGACACTGCAGTGTAAGTATTGCCCTCTTCATACATTTTCATGTATATCTAAGATATTTAAGATGTACTGTAAAGCACGAACACAGAAAACACACATATCATGAAAGAGATTCCTAGTAACATGAGAAACTGCTTTCTAGATCTCAGCTGGCCTACCTTTTTCTTTGTCTTTTCTAATTTAACAACATATTTTCTTTTTTCACTAGCAGACTGCATCAGATAGATAGCTATGTAAGGCTGTCTTGCAGGTTTCCTGCTCTCAGATATTTACCATATTTGTATCTTTATTGCCCTTCTTCCTTCAAAGAATTAAAGGTTATACAGAAAAGATTTTACCCACCCAACATGGTAGATTACGGTAAGACAATCAACCGGAGATACAGAAGCACAGATAAATGCAATATGAGCAACAACAAGCATATTTTAAAAATGAAAAGGTATTGTTTTCATGTTGAAAGTGATACATAAAATCTGCAGAGTGGAATCTATGGACATTATCTGTATATAAAGACTTCCTTTAAAGCACAAGGAGAATGACTTTCCTTTACTGTCAAGATATTTTCCTAGAAATAAGAAAGAGTAGGACTCCCAGGAAGACTTTAGCATAGCACATCTTCCTTTTGCTTGTTGATTTCTTTTTAATAAGGCACTAAATAGTAAAGTGGGAATGTGAAAAGGAGACAAAACCTACAATAAAACTCCCAGCATTATTTATAGGAGCCCTTGTTTTCAAGGTGGATATGTTTAATCAATGAATTGTTTTTTCAAATACAGATACACAATTTCACTAAACAGAATGCTAGGGTTTAACTTTCTAAATAAGTGCAGATATTAAAAGTGACAAGCATCTAATGAACTGGAATGGATCTTCCCTCCTGATGTAGATTTGCAACACAGAATACAATTATCGTGTCCATCTAAATACATACATACATACATACATACATACATACATACATACATACATACATACATACATACATACATACATACATACATACATACATACAACATACATACATACATACATACATACATACATACATACATACATACATACATACATACATACATACATACATACATACATACATACATACATACATACATACATACATACATACATACATACAAATTACCATCTAGCTTTTATTTTAAGGGAGGAGATACTCCAACCCACAGAGGATCTGTAAGGTGCCCACCACTGGAGTGCAGCTGTTTACCTTCCTAACTGGGAATCTCAGTTACATCTAATTAAATAGCTTCAATAAAGGAAGAACTACCACTCTCCAAAGACAGTCTGTTCCAGTGTAAACAATTTAGAAAGCAGAATGTTTTTTCCAGCTGATTACTGCAACTCTCCTTTCTCCATCCAATAAGGCATGTCTAAGTCCTGTCCCCCAAAGCAACAGAGAAGCATTTCCTCCAGAGCACATATTTTAGGGATTACCCTTTCTGCCAGTTTTGACAACAAACAGCATATAAAAAAGAAACACATGTATTTTCCCCATAGGCACAGTTCATTTGAGAGAGCGATCAATATTTTCTCAGTTTACTCTTAACTTGAGTTCAACACTGTTTCGTATTTTGTGAACTGGGTTCTGCCTGGATTAGTTTTTCGCTCTATGATAAAAGTGTAAAAGAAGAGTTAAGTCGCTCATGCTAATTCAGCAAAACTGTCCCACAAGTCATGACCACTGAGGATAAGGATTCCACATGGGCAACTGTTGCCCTGCTTCTCACCTTCCATGGCTGCCTGCAGAGCATTGATTGGATCAATTTCTGTGATGATGACCCTGGCCCCAAAATTTCTCAAGGCTTGGGCACAACCTTTGCCAACATCACCATAACCTGCCACAACTGCAACCTTCCCTGCAATCATGACATCAGTGGCACGTTTAATTCCATCAATGAGGGATTCCCGGCAGCCATACAGGTTGTCAAACTTGCTCTAGGAAGGAAAAGAAAATATAAGGAACCAATACATACTAATTACAGAAGATGCCATTAACAGAAATCAAAAGCAGCAGAACACTGCAAGTTCGCCTAATACCCCCCACAACATCAGTTCAATAAACCTAGAAATTGAAAACTTTTTGCTCTCTTTTGTGCTGTCAACCTCCTTTAGCCCCAGATAAACAAGACCAATGGTCAGGGAAGCTGAGAACTGGCATCCAATAAAATAGAATAAAGAGCCAGAGATATTCTACTCCTGTTGTAACTAAACAGTGTGATTTTTCCTTGTACTGAAATCCTCCTTGGCAAGTGTGAAAAATCATCAATCTGTCTCGTTTTTCTGTTAATTTATAAACTCTGTAATATGCTACTGATTGATTGCTTAATATGTTACTGAGCCTTTAATGAAACACTGAATAGAGTTTTAGGGAAAAGGCATTTGTGTCTGATTTTGCTGTAAATGTGATAGCCATGTTATGCCTCTGCCTGGCTGTTGAAAATATCTTTTGCTCAGTAAAGTTCATGCAAGATGAAAAGATCTCTCCCACCCAAATGATTTCATACAGACAGGATCTTACCACATCTGTTTTAACCCCTACTCCTGTGAGGTCCCATAGCATGGATTCGCTACATGGTGTTCTCCATATGTTTTGGGCTGTAACTCCTGACCATCAGCCATGTTGACTGGGACTTACAGGCGCTATAGCCCAAACATTTGCAGAACATAAGCTTGCCTCATTTAGACTAACCTTAAGATAGAAAGAAGATTCTGCAGCCTATAAAACCTTCAAGGCCAAAACTGACCTTGCCATTTTATTCTATACTAGAGATGGTAGCTTCGTACTCATATCCTGGGGGATACAAATACAAAGCTCAGCACCATAGGTGCTACAGTGGTTGATTCCCACCCCCCCAGAACCAGCCCGTTCCACTCACTGGGTTGCTTGCAGCACACATGTCCAATGGCAGCAACATCACGCAAATTGCAGACATCATCCCAGCAGTGCTGCCCTGCCTCACCTCACAGCTAACCGCTGAGAAGGTGAGGCTCTTCACCACTCAACTGCTGAGTGGTCAACTGAGTGGAGAGGTGGGCAGTGCCGGCAGGACTCCATCAGTGATTGGTGAGATGTTGCCACTGTTGGACGTGCCCACTGCCAGGAGCCCAGTGAGTGGACAGGGCTGGTTCTGGAGGGTGGAAATGGACTGCCATGCTTCATATTCATATTCACCCGGATATGAATATGAAGTTCCCATGTCTATTCTTTACCTTGATACCAAGCACTATAAACCTTCTCATCCTCTACCCCACTTCAGGGCAAGTGAGGTACTGCCATAACTTCACTCTCCATCAAGCCACATGACTGTGCCAATCAGCATGGAATAGCAAAGTAAAGCACAATATATCTGAGTGTTTTACCTTGGTGACAGAATCGTTGACATTGATAGCGGGCAATTTCAGGGTCCCACTGGCATGCATTTTATAGAGATTGTGGACTCCAGTGGTTGTTTCCTCAGATATTCCTTTGATTCCTGCAAGGGGAAAAACAGCAATGTACATCCCATGAACGTTTGAGCCTTCCACCTGCGCAAATGTTATGCACTCAGTCCTCGAAAAGCTCTTTGCATGAACACAGTAATGTGAAAGCATGACAGTTTTCTGCTCATAAATGAATGGGTATGACCCATCAGATTCATTTCATTTTCATCTGAATTTCCCTATCACTGTGAGCCTTTTAAAAACAGATGGCCTCAGGGTGAGCACTGAACGGAGAGAAAAGTCTTGCAGGGTGTCTTCAAGAAAGGTAAAAGAAGAGAATCAACATGATTTGCCAATAACATGAATTACAGCTTCTCACCCATATCCAAGAATATTCTGACCACATGGCTTGGTTCTCCATTACAAACACAGGAAAGGGGGAGCATCTCTCTGTAGCAGCCTACATTTTGTAGGCAGAAGATTCCAAGTTCAGTGCTGGCGCTCCAGTTTAATATCAACCCAGACAGCATGGTGAGGAAAGGACATTTCTACTTCAGGCTGACAACACTGAACTAGAGACACTGGCGTGAGCAGTTTCCAAATATTACGGGCTACCTTTACCCATCAGACTTCAGAGAACAACCCCCACCACAACACTTCCATCTGTGCTTGACAGCAAAAGCTTCCTTTTGCTCTTCTTTATTCCCCCCCCCCCCCCCCAATCTGTTTGGTGAGACTTTATGGAACTTGTTTCAAAAGCAGATGTTTTGAAAAAAAATCCCCCCCAACTAAAATATGACAGGGACACTGGAAGCATGGCAAAACTGATCCTCACATCCTTTAGAGCAGCCATTTTCAAACTTTTTTGGGCCATGGCCCTTTTAGGAGCTTTTTTCAGGTTCCAACCCCCCTGTCAAACAAAGATGCAACAAGAAGAGGTGAATAGAAAAATAGGGGGAAAAAATCAGTCTGTGGCCCCCTTCAAATGGGCCAAGGCCCCACTCCGAGGTTAAAAGGGCCCTTTCTAAATCCTCAAAAATGCAAAATGGGTAGTATTATAATTATATTACCAGGCAAGGAAAGAGACACTTGTGGAATTTTCTGTCTCATGTCAAAATATGTTGGCTGACTTCATATATTATGTACTTTAATATGAGTTCACTACCTGAGGTGGAGCAATAAGTTCATCTGTTGTTCCACTTGAGGTAGTGAACAGCTTTTAGATGACACCCCTAAGGATATTGGTACATCTCACTGTGTTCACACATCACAAAATGCCAGGAGATGGCTTGTAGAAATCTTGTGATGTGCAGACTTGCTTCTGTTTTGCTAAAGATTTTATAGTTCGAAATCACAATCTAAGCCACTGTTTGTTGCTGTTTAAATCATGACATCAAAAGCAAACATCATAGCTTGCCCCTTTTCTGTTTTCCTAGCTGCCCATCCTGAAAAAGGATGACCAAAAGAAAAGGAGGCCAGAAATGGGGAAAACAAGGCACAATTTGTTTGTTGTCTTCTATTCAATTTTTCGCTACATCAATAAAGCCTTCGAGAATACATACATCTATAAACTTTGGTTAATTAACAGAGACTTTGGTTTGCCATGAAGCGTGAATGTACTTTCTGAAATTGCCTGAAACTTGTGTAACTTAATGTGTTGCAAATAAAGACTGAAAACGTAGAGTTCACTTTAAAATAAAAACTAACAAAGCTTAATGCATAGTACAAAAGTCATATGTGCAGACAGAAAGACAGGGATTACTGCCAGTTATATGGATGTCTCTATGTTTTCTCAGAAAAAATTGTGAGGCCCATATAACAAGAATGCTTTCTAAGAAAATGTAGCTATGGAATGGTTTATTACAAAACCATTATGGCTGCAATAAATGTGCTTCCCATTGACAAAATTATATTATTGAAGTGACTTTGGGTATTATTCTTCATGCTTTTCACATGGGGATTCACCATGTAATCGGCTGGCACACACACTTCTATAGTTCAGTTCACAGGCCTGTTCTTTTTGTAACAGCTTTGTCTGCTTATTGGTCACTGATGTCAGATCTACTCCTGTGCTTCAAAGCTCGGAGGAAATTAGAAATGTTGTTTAAGAATAGGAGAAGGAAAAGGAGAGCTTTCAGGATTTCTCCATTGGTGTTCAGGCCCAAGCTGTAGTTAGCAAAACCTGGAAATAACTAGTTATTAAAAATGTGCTGCTTATAATTAATTCCTGTTGTGATAACCACACCATAGTTATGTTACATTATAGTAGCAAGGTGATAAGGGATAAATTCACTCTTGTTTCAGTGAAATTAACTATTTTAGTTAGTTTTATGCCTTGCGTGGTATATCACTATTTAGGTACATTTTTACCACAGCCTAGCAGCTTGCAGCATTCACATATTTTCCTCACAAAATAGTTTAAAAGCAAATATGATGTGAGGGGTGATCCTTCTCAGGTGGCTGTATGCACACCACCTCTTCTTTAGTACTGAATAAAGACAGATGACCAATCAGCTCCAAAACTTCAACATTTATTTTGGGAAACTCAAAAAAAAACCCCTATTAACATCTGTTAACAGCTTGTATAAGAAATGAGCTAGAACCAGGGGTTTCAAATTGCTTAAATCCAAGTCCCGGGTGATAGTCTCTTCTCTCAGGTCCCAATGTCTCCGACAGCATGGTCAAGGGGTCACACCTGAGGGGCTCCTGTCCCAAGCCTTGTCTTTGAGGTTTGTCAACATCACAAGAGAGGGGGCCCTGCCAGAAACTCTCTCTGAGAGGTTGTGCCATTTTGCCCTTTCTCTCTATTCCCACACCAGCTTGGCTCTCTCCTCACAGATATTTCTATTCCACTTTCTAACCTCCTTCTCCCTCGAACAGGAAGGTTTCTTCAGTTTTACCTCCCTCCTTTTCTTCTTCCTGAGGGAATCATCATCATTTCTCCCACTGTTTAGTTCAGGGATTTTCCATCCATATCCATTCCCAAGCAGAAGGTAAGATTCTTTTTTTCCCCCCTTACCTCCACCTCTCCAGCCTCCATTATCCCCCTCCTGGACTTCTCTCCCTTATTTATCTCACCCTCCTGCCTCCTTTCTTATTCCCGCCTTTTCCAACTGAACGGCTACTTCCTCTACACTTGACCCTCCCTTTCTTGGAGGCTCCTTCTTTCCCCTCAGCTGTATTCCCGCCTGTTCCAGGGGAGCTTCAGTCTCTCGCCCACCCAGCTCATCTCCCTTAGATCTCTCCATTCCTTTCTTTGTCAGGGCTCTTGCCTCCTGCTAACAGGTCTCCATCATTCTTCCCGGGCTCCTTCAGGGTTCTTTCTGTTTCTCTCTTCTCTCTCTCTGCCTCCTCAAAGGTTTTGTCACTTTCCAAGCTGGTCATATATGCTTTCTCACGGAATCTAAAGATTTATCCCGCCTCACATCAGGAATGGACGCACTTGGGTTGGGATTTGTTATGTCCAACCATCTTCTTCACATATGATTACTTTTGAATAAGGGGATATTATAGTTACTTTTTAAAAAAAAAATAAAAGTGTAATTTCTACTAAACTACAGAATGCACTCCCAAAGTGCAATCTGTTTCCATTCTGCATTACTTTGAGAAAGTAAAAACACATCTTTTAAAACTGGCACATAAAGTCTAACTTGTACTGTGTTGTTTTTCATTTTTACCTTTTGCTGATTTCAATATTTTAATGTATTTGCTTAATCTTGATGGTTTTATGGTGGGACTTGTTCATACAGTTCTACAACTAAATGAGGGGTTATCTGTTTTCATTCTTTTAAAAAGTTTGTACGACATCCTTACTATCTTTTAGTGGAAAGTCAGGGTATAAATGCAGTAAATAAATAGCAACAAAATAGGAGGAAGATTGTAACTAATTACTAATTTAGTAATTAATTATTGCGTGAATAAAAATTAATGGAAATATATAGACCAATCATTCTCTTCTTCAGGTTGTCAAAAAAGTGGACTTCAAAAACATATTTTCTGCCCAAAGAAAGAAACTTAAAGATGTTGGCTGGAAATTTGAAACAATGTATTTCTCCAAAAATACAGTACACAAAATTCTCAAATAATGCTTACCTTTTAACCCCTGAATACCTAGGTAACTAAGTATCCACATGCTCATTTCTCCAGGATGTTTCTGCCTAAACACCAAGATCAAAGGCCCTTCTTTGGAGGCTCCACCATCCATGGTGGAAGGCAAAGAGGGAAAAGACTTTTTGGCCATGGGACTAGATTACTATGCCTAGGAGAACACAAAACTTTTTATTTTTAAAGTGAATAAAAGCATGCAGGGGGCAACTGGATGTGGTGCGGACCACAGTGTCTCCACATGCAATCATCAATAAAAGATCTTATGGGGGGGGGACAGAAAGAGTATATATGTTGCCTAATTGTTTCATATCAGCTGAAAGCTTATGGCTTAAATCTCAAGGACAGCAGGCTCCCTGAATCAGTGAGGATCTGGTGAGCCAATTCCTCCATAAATTCCATTGGTTCAATGGGTGTACTCTAGCTGCAACTTACTATGCTAAGTAACAGGTTTCCAGTCAATAGGCGATTTGAGTCCAAAAGAGTTCCTTGGTTTACTGAAATACACATTGTATGAAACCATTTCTGTAGCAAGTTTTTCTTTCCTACCTTGGGGTGAGGGTCGGGGCAGGGAGGCAGCATTGTTTCTAATACAGTACTGTATAATACTAAGTGCAATGACGCCCTCTTGTGGCCTTTTTGCAAAACAGCCATTCAATAGTTAAATCTCAGGAAGCACAGCTTCTCCAGCATCAGTACATAGTTTTAAAGATTCCTCTTGCTAGTTGTCATTTTATGTATGGCTGAAAAGTATATGAAGACATCGGGGAAGTCAGGGGGTAAGTCTACCCCCTCTATTCTCATCCAAGCTTCCATAAGTCTTTAAATTTCATTCATATACACTTCCTTTTTCAACAATGCTGGGAGTTAGGAGCACCAGAACCTGGTCTCATTCAAAATCTATGTATAACTCTTATTCCACCACACCCAAACATAACTACGAAGCATT